CATATCTCACTACACAGATGCTGTGTAGATTCACGAGTTAGGAAACAGTACAGCAGAAAACAACTTCCAGAAATCTATCAGTCAGGACCCAGTACCCAAGGTGACAAGTGGCATCCTGCTCCTCCCACTAATGGTAATAGTCCAATTCACTAAGGATCCTAGGTTACAAAGGTCCTTTCTGGTTTTGGATACAAGGTCTTATTAGCCCAGGCTGGCCTCAGACTCACTAAGGAGCCAACGAGGACTTTGAACTTCTGATCTTCTTGCTTCCACTTCTGGATTACCTAGATTACAGGTGTGTGTCACTGTGCCCAGCGTATGTGGTACTGGGGATGAAAGCCAGGGCCTTACACATGCTAAGCGAGCCCTCTACTAACAGAGTCACATCCCAGCCCAAAAGGCCCCTTTTCATACTGTGTCCTAGTATAGGACATAGATTCAATTCCAGACCCAGTGAAACAGAAGTGTCAGAAAGACCAAAGATAAAAATAGTGAAGAAATGTGCCTATTTGTCCCCATTCAAGGTCCCTGGTTTCCTCCAGAAACCAGAACTATTTCAGAGAACAGTTTGTTTTTTCTATTAAACATGAGGGTTCCATTATGAAGTAGACTGACGCCCTGTGGAGTAACAGGGCTCCTTCTGTAATGGATTGTTAGGGCCCTCAGCCCAGCCCCTTGTCAGGTGTTACCCAAATGTCCACCCACACTCCTGCCACGATGACCAGCCCTCAGCCTTACCCAATCCCTCCACTGCAGAGCTGTACATTCCGGTTGCTTTCTACTGCAAATACAGCCTACCATTGAGCCATTTTTCTCTGCACTGCATGTAGCTTCTGCTTGGATGAGTCACAGTATAACATATCCCCTCAGCCCCTCCACTCTGTACTTAAAATACTCTGGGGCTGGCCGAAAAGCACCCTGCTCTGTGTGTGTGTGTGTGTGTGTGTGTGTGTGTGTGTGTGTGTGTATGAGGGACTGGCAGTTCAGTCCTCTGCAACCCTCTGCAGAGTTTGACTGCAGTATGTTTGGCAGAGGGGTTTAGAGAGCCATCCGCTCCAGGGAGTTCTGCTTTTCAGCTCTGGATCTTTCGTGTGGCTCACCAAGCTGCACCCTCTCCTCTGCAGGTACCTCCATTTTAAGCTCTCTGGTCTTGAACAGAAGCATCTTATGGTTGGGGGTTGTGTCCTGTCTCTTGGCTCATCCTAGCTTCCAGCTGGCCTTCTTGCTACAGATAGGTAGACCTTGTCCTGCTTCTGTCTGATGGACCTAGTCTGTAACCCAAGGTAAGTGATGCATCAAATCACAACAGCATCTGGTGGTTTTCTGAGTTGGAATCTGTCATTCTCACCTGGCCCCCCTCAATTCTCTGCTATCAACTCTGCTTGATGCCTTCTTTTCTGTCCACCCACACAGAACATTAACCTTGGGCAGAACCAATCACAGGACACCAAAACCATTCCTTTTCCCTAGTCAGCCTAGAAAAGGGGCTTGAAAACTGCTCTCTTGTCCCCGAGCCTTTATACTAAACTGAAGAATTTTTTCTTCCTTCGAACTTCTACAGGTTAATCTACAGAACAGTTTTCTTAGTTCACCACAATACACACCCAGACATACGCTGCACTTGCCAGAGACACCCCTCCCCTCTGGAGTACAGTACACTTTTCACTCTCAACCTGCTGCTACAGCACCCTTCACAGAAGGGGCCCTGGAACAAAAGCCCAGCCCAGTACAATCCAAAGGGACATTATGTGCTTGAGTTATTCATTACTTGAGTTAGCCAAGGTCACAGATCAGGAAGCACATTGAGAAGAAAGGATAAAGGTGGCATAGAGGGTGGGGAAATATTCAGGGTGACCTTCCAGGGCCTGAAGGGAAAGTCAGAGTCCTGGTAGGGGTTAGGTGGTTATGAGATGGTCTATCATAAAGTCACAGCAACAACTTCAAGGTTAGAGAAGGTCACATGGAAGGAATTTTAAGTAAGCTAGTTACTTAATAGCTCTTGCTGTGTACCAGTCACTGTGCTTAACACTTTCCCACATCCTTCTTTTAATCCTGGCTACAATGTATCACTCTAATTTTACAACAGAAGGGCCAACCTTGCAGAGAACAAGTGACTTGGCCAAGGTCGTGCAGCTGGCAAGTCCCAAGACAAGACTGTGAATGCAGCTCTGTCTTTTCCTTCCCAGGAGGCTCTCTGTGGCCAGATGGTGAATTGAATGAGACAGCTCCAGATGGTCTAGACTGGCTGGGCAGGTGGAGCTTGAGGTGAGCCACTGACAGAAATGTGGTTCCCACATACCTGAGCTGAGATCATGTTCTCCAGTGGCAATGCTAGATCTGGGTGGGAGCTGCTCTGGCTCTGCAGGGGTGACTCCCAGAGCTTTATCATGCAGGGGAGGGATAAAGAGTAAAGCTGGGGAACTCACTTTTGAGAATCAGAGAAATCCACCAGAGGAAGACAGTAGGTCAGAGGCAAGAAAGGTGGCTTGTCACAATTGACACAGAACAGTGTAACTGGCATTTGTCACACCAATGGGCAGATCAGATAGAATACTTTTCTTCTTTTATTTTTTAAGAATAAAGGAGGTTCTGGTGAGAAAGCTGCTCCTGAGAGATCCTTTGCACATACTTTGTGGTAACATGCTTCTGGGGAGGAATACAGTTCTATGGGGGATGGGGAAACAGGGTGGGCACAAGGAAGGGCACCACAACTTCCCCCAACAGCCTTGTTACTTTTTTTCCCTTTCCTTTTCTTTCTTTCATCACCCTATCTCCTGCCCTGCCATTGCAGCTCAGGCCAGGCCAGCAATCAGAATGCAGCTTTAGGCTAGCCTCAGACCTGTCTGTTATCTTCTTGCCTCAGTCTCCAGACTGCTGGAATTACAGGTAAAAACCTTCAGTCTCCTGCTGGGCCTCATTCCTCTTGGGGCTACCTTACACCCCACCCCCATTCCTCTGGGGTATTCTGATGATTAATGATTAGGCCTGTATGGTTTCCTCCCTCTTATAGTAGTGAACACTCTATATACCCTTCACAGTGATCTGCCCTGTTGGAAACTCCTCCATCATGTAACTTCTGCCTGGAGACATGAAGCTTTGCAGCCTCTTTTAACAGTTCACCAATCACCAACTTGAGTCTTTTCCAAGGTACACAGTGTAGGGGCAAAGCAGGGGGTGACTTCTTTCCTCAATAAGCTGTTCTCACTATTGCTCTTGACAGAGTCCTGCTGCAGCCCCTGTGGGCTGCAGGATTAAGTGGCTGCCTGCCCCCCCCCCAATCTTGGGAATTTTCAGGTTTTTTTCAAGTCTTGCAGGTGGGCTTTGAGAAGGATTAGTGAGAAAGAACTCATTTTACATTCCTTGTCAAGCTTGCAAGGTTGACCTTGAGACACAAGGGTGGCTTGGGAAGTCTTCTTGGTATTGGGAAGATCCCTGATAAGATGCTAGCTAGCTCTTTCTACAGTGAGCCAGGTCGCTCTTAAGGATTGGTTTTATGCAGCCACTGCTAAAGCATCGCCATGTTTTCTGCTGTGTCACTGCCCTGAGAGGTGTGGGGGAAGCTGTTCAGCGGCTCCGTAGAGGGGGATTGAAAAAAAAGGTTGGATTTTGAGTCACCACGGATGGATCAAGGACGGAAGCAGGTAATCCTAGTCCAATACTGGGCTCTGCCAACGTCTTGACATATGAGCTGGGTCTTCCCAAGAGTACTGTCGTTCCAAGAGTTCTATAGTAGAGGGAAGTGGTCTGTAACTGCGGGGGGGGGGGGGGGTTTTCCCCCAATGAGGCCTAACAGCAGGCCAACGAGAACATCACACAAGGCCCCGTG